TATTGACCTTTTTACATTTAGTTACTTATACAAATATCAAATCACGTTTGTTCCGCTCAACTGGCTTTCACCTCTCTGAAAGCAACCCTAGTTACTGATCCAATAACTTTTCATCCACAATTTTACAGATATAAGAGGGGTTTCATATCTTGGCACCAAATCTTTCAATTAATTACCTTATTAAAATCAGGTGTGATTATTTGTTCTATATTCTGTTTTGTTTATTTCAGCTTAACTTAACCAATCAATAGTTTACTTATGAAGTCAAATGGGGTGAAGCCCGTGGGTAACAGCTAGTTGCTAGTTTACAATCAAAAACTAGGTAAGATTAAAAACACAACATTCTTTTAACAAGCAGTTGTTTAATTAGTGGTTATCAGGTACACTTAAAAAACAAAACCAAATATAAAAATAAAATATCTTTGACAACATAATAGGAAGTTGCTACAAAGTGGTTGCACTGTTGTGTGACAATATGTATACAAAATTAAACATACCAGGTCTACAATATGAAAAAAATAATGCAAAATTAAATTTAAAATATGTGACCTATTAATAATTAATTTTCTAAACTTAACAATCAACTTATTTTAGGAGGATTCAAAAATATCCTATAACAATTAAGCCTCTCCTGAAACCAAACAGATTATAAACAATGATATCAGAATTAGGGATTGATAGGCCTAAATGCACAGTTGTTTATTTATAGTAAGATTACTTCTGCAGTTTTACAGCCCCAGTCTATTACCTATTTACATACCTATATATTCCCTTACAATTAATGTACTGGAAATGCAGTAGGTGGGAAGTACATGTCATGTTGTTTATTATACAGTATTGTAGAATGACTTGAATCACCAAAATAATTTGGTCTTTGTCTAGTAATACAGTCAAGTAATAGGAATAATATTTCCTTAAATGCAACACATCTTTAAACTAGGTTTACGTCCAAAGAATAAACAAGATCACTATAGTAGGTACCTAACTAGAAAAATAATAATCACTAATATTGTCACAGAACAAATTACAATTACAGTATTGGTTGTTTGCTTTGTACCATAATAATATGCCAATCACAGAAAAAAACAAGATTGTATTTTTACATTGCACTATTGGTATACCTACTCTATAAGAATTTTATACTATAGGCCCTAACTATAAATGATACAGTAATGAAAAATTCTATCTTGAATCTGGGAAAAATAAGCATGGACAATCTACAATTTGTTGATAACTACAGTAGAATCACTATTAACCGTCACCCTCGGGACCAGGTTAAGTGAATAGACGGATAACAGAAGTCATGTTATAAACCTGTACATTAAGTTGATTTAAAAGGTTTTGGAAGATAGTAAACCCTGTACAAGTGAACAACACATACTAATTTGTATTTAAATTATTTAAATACAAGCATAATAACAGAACTGTTATTTTGTTTTTATACTCATTCAATGTTCGTACTGTGAAATAAAATCACATTTAAAATAACCTAAGCACTGTAGCGGGGAGACGGATAACAGAGAGAGACAGTTAAAATGGTGACGGTTAATCGAGGTTCTACTTTATCTTAATTAATAGGGTGTTAAAAAAATAAAACTCATATGAATATCAAGGATTGGTAAAGGCAAATTAATTCAATAGAATTGGTAAATTATCTGATGGATAAGCATTGTTGTTAGAAACATATTTTTTGTGGTATGACAATACACAGAAAATGCAAATTATTTTGAAAAATGTAAACATGTCAGTTAGACAGTGAATTAATTTATATTTCAAACTAATTTGTTTGTGTATTAAAAAAATTGGTTTGACATTAAATGATAGATCACAAATCAATGATACAGAAAATTATTGGTAGCATGAAAAAAAATCTTAACAAAAAGAAAAAACATTCTTCAATTATTAGTGACATTTATAGTTTTTTTAACTAAATATTGCACAAGAAAAACTGTTTATCATGCTTAAAAGTGTTGAAATGGAATACCTGAAATGTCTAGCAACCTAACCACAATATTATATTTTTATTTTATTACAACTAGTTAATAAAAGAAAACCATAATATCATTACCTTTTAACTAAATAAGTTTAACTTATTGATTAGCACTAGACTTGAAGCTGGTATTATAGAAATAATATAAACACTTCTTGCTACACTAGTTGATGTATTTACTTAAATTTTATACAATAAATTAATCCTGTGGTCGAATCGGTAGCCAATGTCACATCATTTACCGTCTTGTAAACTATTCTTGTAAAAGTGTAAATATATCTAGTAGAGTAGAGCTGCAAGGTGTACAATAACTTATACTTGACCTAAATAAGGCATCATCCTGATAAATGAATAAGCCTAGGGCAGTGTTTCCCAACCGATGTGCTGCGGCACACTGGTGTGCCGGTAGGCCTTTGTAGGTGTGCCGCGAAATTTTAAGTAGTTAAAAAATTTTTGATCTCATAACGTCTATTTTAAGAGCAGTTGCGCGTTCATGACAGCACGTTCTTTTGCGTAGAATTACTTGTCAGTGTTGAATCCATGTTTCCAATTTTGAAAAGTCTGCGTCTGTTTGAAGGAAATTATAAAAAAGTACTTCTCATCCCTTGATATTTCCTCGATGGACTGGGTGAGAAATCCTTTAATTGAAACTGCTTACAAGACTGCAGTGTTTACCACTGATGAAGAAAGTGAGCTGATCGACTTGAAAATTGATCGTGGTTTAAAGCTACAGTACCTACTCCAAATTAGTTGAAGATGCAGAAGCAGAATCAAAACTGAAGAAAACCAAAGTGAAAATTGATATTTCATCTTTTTGGATTCCTTTGCTAAAGGAGTATCCGTTGATTTCAAAGAAGGTCATGAAAGCAATATTGCCCTTTTCTACTTCCTACATTTGTGAAGCTGCATTCTCATCAATGAATGCAATCAAGACCAAAACCCGTTCTCAACTTAAGTCTTTGGAAGACGATATGAGAGTCTGCTTGTCAACCATTCGTCCAAGAAAGAAATTTTTAATGAACAAACGTCAAGCACAAGTTTCCCACTAGAACTGAAACAGGGTTTATTAAATATTTCTCACTCATTATTGGTGAATTCATACAACATTTTAATCAATCTCAATGTTTTATTATTATTTAAAACTTTCCATTTAATAAACATTTAATAATGTACATATGTTGGATAACAAATGTGAGTTTTATATTTTTTACCTTGGTAAACCCACCTTTATATTAAATACATATATATATATATATATATATATATATATATATATATATATATTTACTAGTAAAAAACTGGTTTTACTGAGTAAGATTTATTTGAAAAAAGGGGTTTTTTATGACTTATTAAATGTAATTTTAACCAACGATATTTTTGTTGAAAAGTGTGCTGTGACTAAAAACGTGTTCTATATATAGTTAGTGTGCCTTGAACGGAAAAAGGTTGGGAAACACTGGCCTAGGGTGAGATGAGGTATACATAACATAACATTATTGGAACCTATAAGGCAAGATACTCTTTGGGCAAAACATAAATTGACAAAATATTGCTGCTACACTCATTATTTAAGAGTAATTACATTTTTCTACCCAACTGCCTTAGGTGTGGTTTTTAAACAATGATCATTATGGGTTCATTGGTGGTCTTTGCAAAGGTAGTGTTACTTAGATAACTACTGTCAAATTATTCAGTTAACGTATAAAGTGATAGTGCTTATTACCGAGATTATTGTCATATAAAAGTAGGGTATTTTGTTTTACTATGAAAAACTCAACTCAAAAAAACTTAATCATGTTTTAAAACCTTAGTGTTGTTTTAAGGTCAAAATATAGAAATTTGTCATGTATAGAAACTTCCCTTACATTTGAAGGAGCAATGGTATGTTATAAATTACGGAACAAAAATTTTTATAAAACTACCAAGATCCTTAACTGTGGGGGAAACATTGGCCCGCCTTTAATAAATTCCCTCACTTTTAGTTGTTTAGAATGTTTCTGGATTTTGTGCTAGTTCAAATGGGAACCTTTTTGACAATGTCACTGTGCTTACAAAATCACACTACCCATGGAGACGCACCAAGATTTTTGCCCGCTGTAGGAGCTCCAAAAACCTTGCAGAAAACTCTCAATGACAAAATAAATAACTAGGTACAAGAGCATTAGAATCACTGTTTCAGCCGCACCATTTCATCAGAAATCATTTGGATTCATCTGTTAAATTAATTGCATAAAGTATTTCCAAGTTTTTTTTTTTACAATTAAGTCTTGAGTTCAAACCCGTACAGGACACAACTGGTGATGTTATTGTAGCCTGACTAGTGAGTTGAGCAAAATAATAATCACAGAACAAGTGTAAAAATAAAACTGTATTTGAGGTAACTGGTGAGACACAACATTTTCTACAAAAAATTATTGACAAATACAAATTACGTAGAATTTTAATTGAATCTGTAAATTTACATTGCATCTAAATTGTATACTACTTAATATGTGACAGTTCAGTACTAAAATACTCAGATCATTTAAAAATATACCACAACCCTCATTTAAAAATATAACTTCCAATATATACTTTATCCTTAACATTATTATACTATTAAGCACAATGAGGGAACTTTATTTATATACTCTAAAACTACGTCTGGAAGGTAACTATACCACATAAGGGAATGAGGCTGTTTTTTTTTTTTTTTATTTTTCTTGTGCATGATAAAAAATATTTACTGTGAAGTTAAAATCTTGTCTGCCAAAATTAAAAATATCTCATAAAAGACGGAAATTAAAGTAATAACTAAACAACAGATTTAGTCCAGTGAGAAGCATGAAAGTCGATGAAATTCCAAAATCGGTTGAAAGATCTCCAGTTGACTGATTCTGAAATTATAAATTGTTTTCAAAATATCAACAACAATAACTCATTGTAAAACAAATATAATCGACAAATCGACTAATAAAATTAATTCAATAGTCTTTGGTGTAGTAATAAGGCCTTGTGTGAATCGAGTACCACGAGACTAACAAACTGATATAAAAAAAAAAAAAAAACAGTTGAGTCTAAATTGTTTGGTGTAAGTTGATAGTGTAAAATTAATATTGTAATAAATAAGCAAAATCAACTTTTTATAAGAATAATTTACCAAGTTGAACTTTAAACAAAGTAGTGAAAGTAATAATGTAAATTAGCAGTAAATAATTAGATGCGGGATGTTAAAATTAGTTGGAAAACTAAAGCTAAGCAAACTAAGCATGATATAAACAAATATCATTGCTTGCGGTGCAAGATACCACAACCAGAAGCAAGCTAAAGTTAATTCAAGCCACACAAGCAGGTAGAAACTAATTGATAGAGAAAGCAAATAAATACAACAATAACTATTTCATTCAGGTATAAATTATGAAATTGTTTATTTTCAACGATATTTTACATTATTTAAAATCTTTTCTATGTTTTACCAAACGTTTAAACCCTTAAGATAACTTTTTTGTTTGTATGAGTAAAAAAAAAAAACTAAAATAGTATTTACACATTGATTCTGAATTTACACGGGATTGTAATTAGTTTGTTGAACGACTCGCAAAAAAATTATCACTAAAATAAGATTCAAAATATAAATATAAATTCTTAAAAAAGTAACTGAATCCAGCAGATAATGTTGAAAGTAATCGGAACACCATTGATGTTATAAAGTCAGCAAAGCAGGACAAAGTAAACTATGTAAAATTTATCCCCTACACCAGAAAACAAACTCTCGTCAAAACTAAGTAAAGTGCAAACTAGAAAATTTATAAAAGTTAATATGATAAAATAAATACAGTAAATGTAGTAATATTCTTAACAAAATAAAACTGCACTCAAATGTAAAGATAAATTATAAACAATTTCCTTTTTCAATAAGTAAAACTAAATATTGTGTTTACTGTACAACTGATGATTGTAGCATTCTACTGCTTCACCTAAGCCACCCAAGACTAGGATACAATAATTTCAGCAGTTCCTGTCTGCTGCTGACCTCACTGTCTATTTCTCTATAGGGAAGTGCTGAACTTACCAAGTCTACTAGATTGCCACTATCGTAGTCAACATGAACCCTACATTCCACGACCTTTGTTAGGTATACTACAAGATGTGGGATGATGTTGATGTAATTTATTAAACAAAATGACAAACATGTCTATTACAAAAAGATAAGAACAGATAAGGAATACTGCATGTAGGCTGATCAGTAAGTTACAGACATTTTGGTCTAGTGCAGTGGACTGGGTGTTTCTGCACAAGTTCTCATTTCTTCAAATTTAGTTGCGTTTGGATGTTCAGTATATATTATATCTTCTATATATTGTTTATTTACCAAGCAGTCACAACATTTATGTTGACACATTGAAATTTACTGTCAGAAATCATGTCTAATTCTGAGTGAGTCTAATGAAGCTAAAGCCAAATACAAAACATGACAATATTGTTAGACAGTTATGGAACTCTTTGAACATTTCCCCCAAATTTCATAAAGTTCTTCTCAAGAAATTACAGCGAAAACTTAACTCATGATAAAATTCCTTATAATAAGAAAACAATATTGTGATTCAGTGATAAACCAATAATCACAGTCTCACACAGCTGATTGCTACTCAGAGCGAATCAAAAGGTTTTTGGCAACAGATAAACAAATAAATGACCTAATATGAATACTGATTAGGGAGAAATAAATCTTAAGAGCATACCTTGGAAGTTTTACAAAAATATTGAATTATGTAATTTTGTTTATTTTTGTTTCAAAACGTCTGTTACTTCTTGAACTTCCCTCATTTACATTGTTTTCAAGTATTCTGATGTTTATAAAATAAGGATTGGTTGTGAGGATTGTATATGTGAAATACAGCTACAATCAAAATCTGTAGTTCTAGCTGAAGAGCTCCTCTACAGGTGCAGGTATTGGAGAGTAATTTATTCTAGCAAGCTTCACTTAGCTTGAAATTAACAGTTATCACAGAGATCATCTTCAACATTGGTCAGCTATCACAGACATTTGTGTCAACATTCTCAGTCATCTCTACAGCCATTGCGATTCCATCACCACTTCCAAGGTGTCCTCCAAAATGCTCAAACAATTAATTGTTTCTCCCAATCTGTGGACGTTTTCCATCTAATGAATTCTTTATACGTTTCAAGTCATTAGAGATTTTCTTGGTAAATGGCTTCTACATTACCCACCAATCTTTTACCCTATTTGGGCCATAGATCTTCCTAAGAATAACTACCCCCTGTAGTCCCTGTTGATTATTGCTCTAATGAGTAACACGGGTTAAGTCAGTAAGGGCTGTAGAGTTATTTTGTTTATCGCCTTTGCTTTTTTAAGATACACTCTCAGCTTTCGAGTTGTTCTAGATGACATACAAAAGCTATATTTTTTAGTCATTTAATAAGTAATTATCATTTTATAACGTCTATCTAGTTTTTTATGTAATCACAGTTCTAAAGGATTTGTTAACCTTTATTTTTAAAAGATATCGAATTTGTTAGTCAACTTCAACTTACAATAGATCTGAAGATATCAATCATAGTATCTTTTTACACCGAAGAGAATTATCAACAGAAGAGAGGAATAGAAATCTTGCTAACCAACAAACAGGAGGGCTAGTATTTTGACATAATGATAATTGAATCCTGACAAATGTAAACAAACTATAACTGTAAAACTAGATCTACCATCAGTAACATAAACACCCTTTATGCTTGCAACGCATCAAGTAACCTACCAGGGAAAAGAAAGCTTTTACCGGTACCCTGTTTATCTGCCAAGAAACCATCAACCTTTACTCTACAGTAGACCCCCTCTTATTTGGACTCCTCGGGACCGAGACCAGTCCAGATATTGAGTTTTCCGGTTAAACCGACGTCCCCAAAAATTCATTAAAACAGACCATTTAAATCCATGAAACCCAAATATTTGACTTAAATTTAGGAGAGCATTGGGTTTATACACTTGATCACTGGTCTCAAATCTTTCCCACAAGAACAGTCGTTTCAGTACTGCCCACTTCCTGTCGATCAAGTCCGGTTAAACCGATGTGCTGATAAACATTGTCCGGTCAAAGAGATGACATTTCCGCTGAGTGTAGTCAGGTTAAACCGATGTCCGGTTAAAAGGTGTCCAGATAACAGGGAGTCAACTGTATAAGAATTTCGAAAAGGAATACAAATAACAGAATCAAGATAGGTTGATAAGACGGGATTTCTTTGTTAAGTACTCAGTAAAAAAGGTAAAGCAAATAAATGATAAATGAATCATCCCAATAGACAAGTTAATTGCAAAACCGAACATCGGCGTTTATAAAAATGATATTTGTTAATTTTAAACATTGTTATGTTAATTTTTAAGATAATAACTCTGTGATGTGATATAACAACGTTTTACTTTATACAATGAGGATGTAGGAATGTATGAGAAGTGTTGTAAGTCAAGTAGTGTAGAGATTGTTGTGAAGAGCGACAGCATTAGACGCAGCTCGTTGACAGACTTGTACAGCGGAATTTGGGATTCTTCGTGTGACCTGTTGAAGTAGACTGGTGTCAGGGCAAGGAATTGGTTTTCCACAACAATTTCCAAAAGTTTATGATTTGCTCAAATTCAGCAATGACAAAAAACAGTGACGTATCACATACTGAAGCTAACGTTTCAGAGTTTTGTCTACAGTATCTTTGGACTCATGAACTTCTTTGTACTGTACAAGGATGAGATTCATAATATGTATAAGGAATTTGTCATGCAACAACCCCTAATCATGCCTAATATTATTTTTACAAATGACTTTACTGTAAAATGTTAATTCAATTGAAATAGTATATAAATATTATGAAAGGCTAACCGAGTGACAGTTAATCAAGGGTTTGTTTGAACATTGATTCTTAAAAGATAGCATGAACAATTATTAAACGTTTTTAATGCCTAAAAATTCAATGTTTTTTTTTGACCAAGTCAAACATAATATGGTAGCTCGGTAAATATTGACTGTTACCTAAAAAAAAGTTTTCAAAGTCAAAGACGTTTATCATCACGAAATTACCAAAGAAAAACCAGTTATAGTCAAAAACCAAGAACCATATTTCTTCTTAATTTCAAACTTTATAAAAATAAAATTATAAACTGCTCAAATATTTAGGTACATGCAAGTAAACATGCAAGCTGTCCAGGCAGGTTAATAGTAAAAAAAAAAAACTAAAAAAAGGTAACCTAACAAAATACTTTATTTCAGTCCAATCAAAAGTTTAATAAGTAAGCTACAGTCATATTAGTAAGTGAAGAAAAGAAACCCAAGAGATGGCAAAACTGATTTCGTTACATTTCAACTTGTAGACAAGTTACATGTAGAAATTAGGTTAATACGTTATGCAGCAACCAAATACTGTATTTTAATATCTTAATGTTTTTGTTAGTTAAAAGTAAAACTATTAACAGTGTGGTGCCACTACACTGTCAAAGACAGTGTTAACACAGTATTAACTTTTCAAGGGTGAAGGCTGAGATGAATAAAACCGGACAATATTAGATAATATAAATAGCATATCAACTATTCACATCTTTTAAAGGTGAAGTACTTGTATATTTGAAAAACATAATTTCAGTTTAAGTTACAGGTGAATACACAGATACTTTCAAATTAGAACCCACTGCACACAATAAATCTCTTTGTCATTATTTAATGTTTTTGAGATCAGGAATAGAAATAGGGGATCTATCCTTCATCAAACTTGCATTTAAAGAATGTTAAGTGAAGGAACTTAAAAAAAATATTTGTTAAAAAAATAAGAAAGGAAAAATAATTTCCCATGCAAGAATATATGGTTAACACACATGAAGCTACCTTTCCATCACCCAAATTAAAAATACAATTAACAGATGACCTTCCCAACAGCTACAGGACTACATTGCAGTCATTAACAGACTAAGCAATATTCTGAACGACATCCACGGTAATACAGACTGTATACTTCTCACTATGACAAGATATTGCTATAAACTCCTCTATGGTTATTAGAGTTCAATCATATCAAAAACTCACTTAATTGTGCTTGACAAGTAAAATAGGGTGAAATAAAAAAATAAAGTCATGACACAGAAGGGAAATGGGGAAAAACAAAGGAAGTCCTTTACAGGTTTCCCCATAAACAAATACTCTGCCCAAGTAAACTTGATTGTTTCACCAATCACCAGTCAGTAAGAGAGCCTACCGTTGATGTGAGAACACCACCAGGTCGATGTATAGCACTAAAAGGTGCCGACACACCAAGCAGACTGCTAGCATCTCTAGTGAAGTACAACAGTCTATACAGTCCTGGCTCTCTGACAGAGGTCGGGGGAAACCTGAGAGTGACGTTGGTGCCTGATTGTGATATTCGATCATCTCGTTGATAAGGCAGGTAGATGTAGGACACATAGTCTTGCAGGTTTATAAGCCCATCCTAGAACAAGTGGTATAAGTAAGTATTTAATGTCGCCTAGATATCTTCCCAAATCTTATCCTTCTTAATAATATTCTATTAGATTTTCTTTATGAAGGAGAGACTATAATATAGGATACAGACCAGGGTGGCTACAGAACTTTTAGAAAAATTCATTAATTTTTCCCTGTTTTCCCAGCAGCAAGACCTGGTTTTCTTGGTCATAATTCCCAGTTGCTAGTTCCCGATATTTTTGGGTTGGGTTGGGCCAACAGTTGATTCGAGGGATCGATACGGACCGAAAATAATAATCGGGCCTTGCTTGGGTCAAGTTGAGCCGAGCCGAGCGCATACTTCCGAAAGCACGGAAATAATGACAATTTTGCCACGATTGTCGGAGACAATGACCTCGCCTTAGCGGTGGAAGATGTTCACGATTACGCCTGAATAAAAAATCAAATCAAATCAAAAAATCCTTTATTTAAAAAGTACATTTTTGTACATGAATTGTGTCAAGTCAACAATTAAACATATACATTTGGCATATTTGCAGCAATAATTAATTGAGTGCTATAGGTTATATAATATGTATACATCTTTCTCCCTAACAACTACTATACGGTACAACTATTACAACAAACTATTGATTTGAATGACTAATAACTGTAATTGAAAATGTCACAATCCTGTAGCAGCATTTATCCATCTTAAAAAAATTGGATAAACTGATTTTAAATAGTTAAGTCCGTCAAACCCTTCTTGGTCATAGGCAGGCTACTATATAATTTTATATCAGAGTAATATAGAGGATTTTCAATGGTGGAAGTTCTATGTCTAGAGTATGTAAGGGTGTTCTTTTGTCTTGTGTTATAGTTGTAAAAATCAGAGTTATTTGGAAAATTTATTAAATTTTGTCTTGTGTACAAAATCAAACTATACATGTATATACTGGGAAAAGAAAAATGTTGTGATAAAAAAAAAACTCTTACGCATATTTTCATTCATATCCAAAAATAATACGAATAATACTCTCCTGCAATAAAAACACTCTTTTTCTTATCTGAATTTCCCCAGAAGATAACACCATAATTAAAAAAAGTGATTGACATAACCATAATAAACCATCATAGGAGTGGACATGTCAACAGATTTAGATAAAATAATGAACACTAGCGAACCTGGTGCACATAATTGTGCGCAATCTAGACATAGGAGAAGAAGGATTTGTATTGATCTTTTTTATTTGGTGTTTTCTGATTTCTTGGTTTTGTTGTTGAAGGTGGGAGATGGTAACAGGCCTAATTGAGTTCGCAGTTTACATGCCGTTTTTTTGTGCAAGTCAGTAAAAGATTCTCTTTTGATTAATCGATGATAAACTAAATAATAAATCAAAGCCCTTCAAACACAACACAGAAAAGAATTCAGCAATTAAACCTAAATATAAAAACCTAATATCTAAATAATTTTTGTAATTATGAAGGGTTAATCTTAAAACTAAATCATGGAAATTAAAAATTTATTCTTTTTTATTAGTCAAAAAATTGGGGGGAAATGGTTATAAGAGTTAATAAGCAAAGTACCTATTTTGGTGACGTCGGTCTGTGGGACCAAATATTATTCGATATTCATAAAATAATTAGTATAGTTATGTCGAACAATGAAAAAGGGTTTTCTGAAACTACAACGTGTTTCGGCGTTCGGGGAAATACATTTGCTAGAATGCATATGGTGATGTTGGTGCACTAGACTAAAACTTGAATGAATGAATTAATTAATTAATTTATTCCACCACATATATAAAATTACTAGGGATGGACGGGATTGAATTTTTAGTTCGGGACGGGACGGGACGGGATTTTTATTTCCTTCCCAATTTTCGGGACGGGACGGGACGGGATTTTTTTCTGTGCATAAAAAGAAAGTACTGTATTGCAGTTACCAAAAAAGACATACGAAATCAATTTTTACCATTTGTGGCACTGATCTATAAAAACCAAAAAATGGGTAACAATTTACAGGTACCTATAGAAACTTGTGACTCGCGGGTCACGAGGTGATTGTCTGTATGACTCACGGTCATGGCGCGATCGTCGTCATGACTCGCGGTCACGGCGCGATCGTCGGTATGACTTCGCGGTCACGGGGTTATCGTCAGTATGACTCCACGGTCACGGCGCGATCGTCGTCATGACTCGCGGTCACGGCACGATCGTCGGTATGACTTGCGGTCACGGCGCGATCGTCGGTATGACTCCGCGGTCACGGGGTTATCGTCGGTATGACTCCACGGTCACGGCGCGATCGTCAGCATGACTCGCTGTCACGGGGTTATCGTCGGTATGACTCCACGGTCACGGCGCGATCGTCGTCATGACTCGCGGTCACGACGCGATCGTCGGTATGACTCGCGGTCACGGCGCCATCGTCGGTAGGTTTCCGCGGTCACGGCGCGATCGTCGGTAGGACTCCGTGGTCACGGCGTGATCGTCGGTATGACTCGCGGTCACGGCGCGATCGTCGGTAGGACTCCGCGGTCACGGCGCGATCGTCGGTATGACTCGCGGTCACGGCGCGATCGTCGGTATGACTCGCGGTCACGGCGCGATCGTCGGTATGACTCGCGGTCACGGCGCGGTCGTCGGTAGGACTCCGCGGTCACGGCGTAATCGTCGAAATGACTTCGTCTCCTGCGTTCGCGGACCTATCGCTCGCAATAACGGCGTTATCGGCACTCGCGAAGCGGAAAAATCGCCGACGATCGGACCAAATCCCGTCCCGAAAAATTCCCGAGTCAAATGTAATCCCGTCCCGATAATCGGGAATATTTTTTTCCCGAAAAATTCCCGAAATTTCGGGACCCGTCCATCCCTAAAAATTACACAACCAAATATACAAAAAAGAAAAAGGGTTTTATGCAAAACTAAACTAATTAACTATATCATGATGTGTCAAAGGTTGTTCCTATCTATTTAGTCCTGGAATTAGCAGACATAGGTTGTGCCTGTGCGTCTGCTAAGTTGCTATAAAGATTGAATAAAATTAAGTGGTGCACTTTAGTTTTATTATATTTTTATGAGTGAAAAGTATATTTAAATGACTTTCAGCAGTTAAGAAATAGTAATGCAACAAGTGACAGTACTCTACAACGAAAAAGAACATGCAATTATCATCCAACAATAGAAGCGTCGGAGAGGGAGCGGCTAGGGTGTGCCGTCAATGTTGAGGTCAAAGTCAAGTCAAGGGTCGCGGGCCGATCCCGTCGCGCCGGTAAGATGAAGTAATTAATAATAAGATCAGCCTCGTACGTATTTAAACTAAGTAGCCATTCTTTAACAAGACGTTTAAAAGAGACAATAGATGTGGCATCAAATAAATTTAATTCAGGATAGTATTTACAAAAATTTTGATAAACTATGTGAGATATATAAAAAGAATTTGTTGTTGAAAAAGTGTTGTATACCTGAAGTGAAGTAATGTGGACTTGAGATGAGGATCTGGCATCTGGTGTTATGAGAATGTGAGGTTTCATTAAATATTCTAGTGCAATTCTTGAAAATGTTAATTAGTAAACATTTGATATATAGTTTGCGAACTGTAAGAATTGATGTTTCCTTAAATAGGGTGCAGACGGAAATCGCTTAGATTTACCAAAACCAATCTTTAAAAGTGACCTATGAGCAATATTTAGAGGTTCGAGCAAACTTTTAAAACATCCCCCCAGGCTATAATCCCAAATGAAAGCAAAGATAGGCAATTTTAATTTCTTTTAAGGTTAGAATTCCATTCATTTGTCTAAAGGCAAACATGTATTTCCTGACCTTACTCCTTACACTTTGAATATGTTCAGCCCACTTCAGCAGTTCCCTTTGAAGCAGTTTGTCTGCAGTAGTAAGAATTCACAGAAAAATTTGCCACATTTAATCTGCTTATCTCGCTATCTTTTAGATTGTGTTCTGACAAAACTAATGTGAGGTTTAACACGTTCGCTACTGCAATAGTACAAAATTTGTCATTCACATGGACCAGCGACGCACATATGCGACGCCCGGTTTCCACCCATAGACTGCCGTCGCATATTTGCGTCGGTGTTCTAATGTTATTAAAATGGTTATATCTTTGTAACGGTCTATTTGAAGGCACTGAATTCCCTGCAGTGGTCTACAGAGATGTCTGACGCACAACTGCGTCGCTTGGTCTGTGGATATGATGATTGGTGACGTCATATGATAGTTGGAAAAACTGGCCTTTACTTTTCTACATCACTGTATGTATGTTGCATTATCCTATGTAGCTTTTATATTTGTTCAGTTATATATAAACTGTTCTTGAATAATCTGTTTTTTTTTTTTTACATACTTTCACCTCAAAACACAACAATATGAACTGTCGCATATATGCGACGTTTGGTCTATTTCAATTAAACTATGATAATTTTCACTATTGTCTATGCTGTAGACCGGGCGTCGCAAATATGCGACATTACAAAAGGTTATAAAAAATACAACAAAACAAGAATAAATTATTTACAAACACGATTGTAGCGTACTACAATGTAAATGATCACTGTTTTAAAGGTTTTCGCCCGTGGTCTGTGTGTACTGTTATCCAAGTGACAGCCGGTCTATGTGTAAGATTCAAATGTATACATCGGTCTGTAGCAATGACCGCGGCGAACGTGTTAATTTCATTTAAAATTACTTCCAATGGTTCAACATTAAGCTTTCTATGTTTTGGTGGAATATTCTAATTCTATTAAGGTTATTTATTTTATCGAAATCAGAATTTGAGGTTGTTGCGATTAAGTTGCAATCCTTTCCATAACTCCTAAGGAGTTTAAAGAGGAATTGGGTGGCAGGAGGTTAAAACCAACACTTCTCAGACAAGGATCTTCATTGACACCAACAGCACATAAGCCTATATCACTCTCACTGGACACATTCTTCTGAGCGGGTTGGTGGGTCGATATTGTTGTGTATTCACCCATAGGCTGTGGTAGGTTGACCTGCGTAGTTTGGTGGTGGGTCGATATTGTTGTGTATTCACCCATAGACTGTGTTTGGTTGACCTGTGTAGTTGCATTGTCCATGGTGCTGTTGACATCATGTAGGTGTGGTCCTGGAGCTGCCGGCCTGGCAACCGTTGTGCTTCTGGTGTCAAAGGGTTTACCTGAATGGCTTCTGACTCCTGACGAGATCATTGTTGCAGCTGACGAATTATTTTTCATTGAGATTAAATTTTTCAGTTTGTTCTTAAACTCAACATGACTCAATCCCTTGTTCAGAACTCTGTAGCTTATTTGTTCATGAACAATTATTTTAACTGTAGATTTGGTAATTTTTTGGAACTCCAATATTTGGTTTACAAAATACTCTAGAGGTACCATATCTCTCTGACACAGCACATAGCTGAGCATATTAGTTGTTGGTATCCTTTTTTCTTAAAATCTTCTGTGAACTCTTGAAATGCTGTGTCATAGTCAGGCTCACCAAAAGCTGTCTATTCTTACATAGAATTTAATGGAGAATATGATGGTAGTGTCAAAGTTATAAAAATGTATGAAAATACTATAGGAATTTTAAAATGTTGTGTAGTAAATGTACAGGTTTTTCTAAAAAAATCAAAACAATATTTCCGCAAGTGGGTGTATGGAATATATTTTTTTAAATTGTGGATTTGTGTCACACTTGTGTTGCTCTACCACCCGAAAAAAATTGTAATGCTAGGTCCAGACCATTCTGTATAGGCTTTTCATGCAACTTCGTCAATCCCCTAACTCAACCGGGTCAAATGCTTACAGTTTAATGTATGGAAGAGAGATAAGAACACACTTAGGATTATTGCTTCCTCAATGTAACAAGTCAGCAAGAAGTGCAATGGCTGTGCGCAGACAATTTCAAGTGGGAGACGGCGTACGAGCTCGAGACTACTCAAGTCCTAAACGTAAATGGTGCTTTGGAACTATCATTGGAAGAGAAGGTACCCTCTTATACCAAGTCAAAATGGAAGACGGGACTGTGTGGAGGAGGCATATCGATCAGCTTCTAAAATGTGAAATTTAGGCGGGGAGAGTTGATACATATTTCCAAAGACTGTCCCCATTTATAATCCAGCTGATCAGTTGATTATTTGTTGTTGTTTTTATTTATGTTTATGTGAAGTTATTCAGTAATAAATATACACTACACAGTGAACATTATGAGCACAATTTAATATTGTATTAAATTAGTTAAAGTACATAATAGTAGATCAAACTAAAACACTCACAATTACCTGAAATATTCCAACCCAATCCCATATTGATGGATTGACATCTGAAGGTAGATGACAGACAACAGAGTTCTCTTCATCTAAATACCAAGTGTCGATGGAAGCAAAGGAGACCTCTCTATCTGAGTAGTCACTGAACACCTACAAACATAAAACAGTATCAGTTATAGTTCATTAACCCTCCGAGTGTCCCTTGTTTTGGCCTTAATGTCTGCCTATTTTTAGCTCATTTGCAAGGTTTTATTAAAACGGATCTGAGAAGCTTGAAAACAATGTTAATTATACTAATCTATATACCATTTTGTTTGGAAAATCATGGGCTTCAATATTATATATAAAACATAAGGAACATTTGTTTAAAAAACAATTTTTAGGTAAAAAAAATATTTTGGAAAATTTAAAAAAAAAAAAATAAGTTTGCGCTCAATGAAATTGTATAAATTATAGGCCTATAAATATTTGAAAATAGCCACTTTGTTCTAAATTTTATGAGGATTACAAATATATAATCATATAGTGAGGTAAGTTATCAAATAAATAAGTTATGAGTGAAAAACAGATTTCAGTACATTGTGTTTAGCTAAGAATGCATAGCCTAACCATAGCTAGGAATCTGGCTGATAATTTACATCAATATCACTACCTACTTCTTCAGGATCATCAACCAGCCCTTCAAAATCACTTAAATCTTCTTATAATGCACCACGTATATCACTACTTTTGATTTTTAACACTAAAACAATGATAAACGTAATAAAACACATCAGTCATCGGTCCGAGGTTAACTAACCTGTTTACAAATACGCACGTCAGCTGTCTGCTACAATTACGATCGGCTCAGAGAACATACAGCGCTGAGACAGACCTCTGGAGAAAGCTTAAATTTTAAGGAAAAGAACGATACCTAACTCGATCCAGTTCAATCCGATTCAGTCAGTCATAGAGCCTTTGCCGTAAACAGTGTTCGTGAGTCGCTGCAGCGACGCATGACACTCGGAGGGTTAAGAAAGAAGTATATGATCAAATATGTACAGGGTGAGTTATTTGTTTTACAGGCTAGCATAGAATAGCACTAAGACACAGAAATATGATTGGTATAAAGATATACCTAATTATAATACTAAACTACCTAAAAATATATATAAATTGAAGCCCAATCATTTATTTGTAGAAATGGATGGTTCAAAAAGTTGCGGTTTAGCTGGTTTATGACATAATTTCAGGTATTATAGAATCTTAAAGAGTCGCCGGAATTGTATCCCCCCTTGAATTTTACCCCCAGAGCAGAGCTGACGTCACAATGACGTATTAATCTGAGCGGTTTGCACACAAAACTTTCCCCCCTTTATTTGTGAGTCTAATGAAAATAGACAAGAGCGTGATTAGATAAGTAATAACTGCCAGAATGTTACCTCCTGCCCATATCATAATTTTTTTATCGGTTTCAATATGATTTGTTTTCAACAACAAGAATATTAATGCTAGTTGATTATTATCATTGACATGTCTCTGTTCTGAAGTACTGATAGCGTTGGCCTAGTAGTTACCTACCGGCATGTCACTAGTAGTAGCTTTCAAGACATTCAACTGTTTGGTTCTATGAGTCATTTAATGCTGTACAGTGTTTGGTTATTTTTTTGTTGAGTTTTAGTTAGCTGTGATTTTGAATGTTACAGTTGGTATAGTTGAACTAAGAGTTTGACTATCAATACAACTTCAGTATCCAATAGTCAATGACTAAGGTTAATGGCTTAAAATGTGATGACTAAACAATATTAATGACTGCAAAATATTGTATTTTCTTGATGTTAGTGTGCAAATAATGACATTTATGTCTGTTTAGTGTTTACACAATATTGATGTGTTTTTATTGGTTTGTTATATATTTTTACCATGTTGGATCAACCGTTTATTTTTTATGTTTTCATAGCACTTACCACGAATAATATACTGCATTCTGACTTTTATTCTCTTAATTTCAGGGCCGGCTAGAGGGTGGGGCAGGGGGGACCAGAGCCACGGGGCCCAGCTCTGTCAAATGTAAAATTTTTACTGTACATGTAATCTGCCAAAATCAAACATTTTAGGATAGTTTTTCAGTTCACTAAGTAATATTTGACTTAGATTGTGTAATTAAAGTCTTGACTTGTTAGTTTTTTGACTTGAATAAAGTTGCAATTATTGTGATCACGTGAATTAATCAAACTATCAAGCATTTAAGAAATCTATTGTTATTTGTGTAACAAAATGGCACGGAGGCGGCTGGACTTAGTCAGGAAAATAGGGGGCCCGGGATCGCTCAGTCCAGGGGCCCCTGACGGCTCTCGCCGGCCCTGCTTGGTTTTGAATCCATTCTAAGCATTATGACTGATTCTTTAACATTTTAAAAACAGAGTCACAGCTACATCTGGAATAATTTGTCTCAATCGGGGCAATCCTCTTGAGTATTTATTTGACATCATCATCATCTCTCACAGTCACGCTTGGCCACATGCCGTTAGCAATTATTCTAAATTTCACAGTCACATAAAATATCCAACACTCAAGATTTACAGAGCTTTTTCCTTGAACACATGGATTGCTTACCTTGATATCAAACTCAGCATACACAGGCTTGTGGTCACTGATGGTGTAGGACTCCACACTGTTGTAGCTGGTTTGGGTAGCACTCAATGTAACATTTTGGTAGTTGTCTTTGTTGACTTTGTACAGCACTCGATCTGTCCATGCTAGCCGCCTGCTGTTAGCGACAACAATCACATTCACATTAGCAATCCATAGTAAGGATTAATGTACAGCAAAAGAACGGTGGTATGATGTTCATGATGAGTGCCACAATGATACTTGTAAATAATTTATAAATAAAAAACTTTTTTAAAACAAAACGTTTTAAACGCACTAAAAAGTAGAAAATAATTTATAAATATGTGGAGAGTATAAATGCTTGTAAGATTTCAAACGAAAAACGTGGGGTGCATATGCAAGATATAGTTTACAATTACTGTACCTTCATCTATTGAATTAATGTATTATTATCAATTGCATGCACCCCACGTTTTTGGTTTTACAAGTATCTTACAAGTATTTACAGTATACTCTCCACATATTTATAAATTATTTTCTACTTTTTAGTGTATTTAAAAACGTTTTGTTTTAAACAAGTTTTTTATTTATAAATTATTTTCTACTTTTTAGTTTTTAATGTGTGTGGATGTTAAATCTATTTCAAGCATCTATATCAGATTAAGACAGAGGCATGTGGGAAATCTAAGGTTTATTTGAGTTTCCTTTCATATAATTATGTATTAGATTGAATGTATGGCCTACCTACTAACTATAAATATATCAATCTATTGAATGTATTGTTTACTTTATAGAATACTAAATAAATAACAATTGACATTATTAACAAAGACCTTTATATCTGCAATCAGATTGTTTATCTTTATTTTGAAATGTTTGTTTGTATAAAGAATCTCTTGGGAGCATAACCGCACAATTTGTTTTTCAGGATTAGTTTTGCCAACAGTGTCATTTAGAGGCTTCTGATTGACTATAATGAAGGTTTACTAATTGAAAAATTAGTTTTGTTCATAAAATAAAATTATAAATGCCTCAGATTCAATTTTATAATTTTTTATTATGAAATTAGGGGTAGCGGATTTTTATCCCCCTGGAATTTTACCCCCTGGGTAAACGTGACGTCACAAACCAGGGGGTAAAATTCCGGCCGCGAGCTTTTGAGTTTCGCGACATCAGCTCGATGGATTAAACGCGGAATTAAACATATATTTTCACGGTTGTGAATTTAATCAAAACACATCAAATTATAAAAACCTAGAGTGTACGGCCCGGATTTTTACCCCCGGAATTTTACCCCCCGGATTTTTACCCCCGGATTTTTACACCCGGAATTTTACCCCCTGGCCAGATATATAATATTAGTGAGAATGATTAATTATCTTCATTCTGTTTTAATTTAATAGTAAACATTTTATTATTAAGTAGCTTATATTAATTTATTTGTAACATTAACTAATTGAACAGGTTTTTAATTTTAATGTTGATGTTCTAGTATTAGGATTCGATCTTTGAAGCCAACAGTTGGTTAATATGACGTATAAACAATCAACTGAATGATAATTGTTTTGAACATTTCTTTACAAAATAAATAAATAAAGATAGGCTACTAAATAATGAAATGTTTACAATTAATTAAAAACATAAATAAGAAAATCAATCATTCAATTTCAAAAATCGACCAGGGGGTAAAATTCCGGGGGTAAAATTCGGGGGGGTAAAAATCCGGCCCGTACATCTTCAGTTGTCTAAACGCTAGTTATATGGACGGGGGGTAAAATTCCGGTTTTTATTACTAATCAAATTAATCACGCTCTGGCTATTTTCATTAGACTTTTAAATCCGCGGGGGTAAAATTCCGGCAGCGAACAAACTTTTGGCACATCAGGTTACTACGTCATAGTGACGTCAGCTATGCCCAGGGGGTAAAATTCCAGGGGGATAAAATTCCGGCGACCCTGAAATTAAACCGTCATAACCTAACCAAACCAACCAAACGTGCTGATGATGAAAAAATCTAATGAAGGTTTATTAATCGAAAAAATAGTTCTGTTCATAAAATAAAATTACAAATGCCTTAAATTCTATTTTATAATTTTTTTATTGTAAAATTATACTGTCATAACCTAACCAAACTAACCAGACTTGCTGATAATGAAAAATCGAATGAAGGTTTAATCGAAAAAATAGTTCTGTTCATAAAATAAAACTATAAATGGCTTAGATTCACTTTTATAATGTTTTAATTATAAAATTAAACTGTCATAACCTAACCAAACCAACCAAACTTGCTGATAATGAAAAATCCAAGACAAAAAAATTAGTGCCACGGATAGGATTTGAACCCGGCTCCTTCAATTTATCAGCCCAGCACTCTATCTACTATATCACCAAGGCCGATGTCAACAAACCCGTATCGATGCGGTAATGGTGTTCCCTCAGCCAATCAGAAGCCTCAAAATAACACTGTTGGCAACACTAATCCTGAAATAAAAATTCAGCAGCTTAACCTGTACCTCTTAACCTCTGCTCTTTGAACTGTCAAATTTAAGTATTTACAGCTGACTTAAATTAATTTATATATTTACATTCTTTCAAAATGTAAACATGAAAAATTTGGAATAGACCAGGCCGGGGTTGGGGTTGAGTATGCAAAATTATTCGGACGCACTTTCTCTTTTGATTGTTGTTAAGGACACTTGGGACAGTAAGAAAACGCATGTTGCCACGATCGGAGTTGGTCGAGTACCAATATGGCTGCCATCCAATATAGCGGACCACCTGACTTGACCTTGATCGAGTAAAATGCTAATAACTCCACCGTTTTCCGTCTGATTTTGATAATTTTAATTTTATAGTTTAAAAGAAGAAGAAATTTGCTTCAAAAGTATATATAACACTTATAGTGCTATCCCGTTCGATAAAGTGATAAATTAGATTTTAATAAAGATTTTACTTTTAAAACATACAAAATATACGTTGAGCTGATTATATTTGAGTATTTACTCACGAAATAAGTCCGAAATCACGAATAAATGTTGTTATACAATTTATAATACACAGTTTAAATGTCTTATAATATTTTACGACTTTCAGTTGGTGAATATATTCAAACATACAGGTAAAAGTTTTTCCGTAGCTATCATAGGCAATATAGACGTAACAGCAACCGCTGGCGCTCTTTGTCTGCGTTTAGACAATTGTGATCTTTGCGCACCCTTGCGGCTTCCCAGGCAACTAATAGCAATTAACTCCAGAAATAAACAGCTGATCCTTTGTTTACTTTTAATTTTGAATATTAGACGTTTTTATTTCTGGTCGTGCGCGAATTTTTGTGAATGTTTTGTGTTTTAAAATGTAGTACGGCAGTGAAATGGTGGTTTTTGTTGTTTCTTTTAAGAGAAAGTACTCAGACGATGAATATTATTGTATATTCTGTAATGGTACATACAATATTGTTCGTCAACCAAGAGTGGAAACGTATGTAACTGTGCACCGTGCAGCTGAGCGTCGAAAAGATGATGTTTCAAAACGTTTGGAAAACTTATACCACCCAGACGAAGAACGTCAACCTTTTTCCTGGCACAGATGTTGTCTTGCTAGTTATATTAGCGAAGAAAAAATCAAAAGAAGAGAGGTTGTGTTATCCGCTCAGGAATTAAATATGAATGTACATTTTAATTTTCCAAACGACCAACAAAATACTTTTAGGCGTAGGAATGTCCAAAAAACAGATAAAATGGTGTGTGTTGTTTGTTCAAAAAGAAGCAGAAGGAAAGACGAAAAACTGTTTCTTTTATGTGAAAGACCTGCAGCTGAAAAGTTTCTTTTTGCTGCAAAGGAAAAAAAAGACGATGTATATACCAGAATTTGCACTTGTAAATCTGCTGAAGAGTTATTTGCCCAAAGAAAAAGGTACCACAAGTCGTGTTTAAGAGATTACACCTATGCAAGAACATGTTCTGGACGTAAACCTGGACGCCCGTCTGAAACGATACCACATGATATTTTGAAAACATCAATGGACAAGTTGTTGGAAGAAATAGGCACTGGATTTGAAAATCAGGCTTATGAACTAACATATCTAACCAATCGGTTAATTGAAATTTGTGGGGTTGATGGAGCAAAAATTGAAAACCGAATTACAAAAAATCTATTAATTGATAAGTTTGGCAAACAAGTTATTTTTTCACATCCATCTGACCGCTCTAAGCCGTCTTTAGTAATGATGTCTAACATTCCAATGGAACAAATGGCTGAGAAAATTAGAGAGTTAGATAGCTTGGAAAAGTCATTGAAATGTGCAGCAGTATCATTGAAAGAAGAAATGCATAAAAACAAATTTCCTTGTGAAGAATTCATTAAAGATGACCATGTTTTGGATAAATCCTTAAATGACTTTGTCATTCCTCCTGGTTGGGCTTCATTTTTAGCAACCTTGTTCGGAAACAAATGTTTGGGAGGCAACAAGTTAAGAAGGGCGAAATCAATTTACATGGACAAACATGGTTAAACATGTGGCTCTGGCGGAATCCGTCCATCATCTCACACGCTCAAAACATTTAGTTACTATGTTGTTTAGGTTAGGACATTGTATTTCATATACGGCTTTGCATGACACAGATAGAGAGCTATGGCGTAAGGTTATGTTGGATAACCAATCAGAAAAATGTCCACTGCCATCCAATATTGTCAGGAATGATTCCTTATTTTTGCATGGCGCTATCGATAATAATGATTTTTCAGAAGAAACTTTAAGTGGAAAAAATACAACTCATGTAACAGCAATGGTTGCCTATCAAGAGAAATGTAGTGTTTCCTTTTCCGGCGGATTTCAGAATGCTGTAAAACGGAAAGACATTGACAATTCGTGTTTCCTTCACCCAGAGTCCCTGCCTTGTCAGACAATACTGGGGTTTCAAAATCATTCCAAAGCACCAATGTGCAACTCATCAGTACTAATACCAGCAGCTCAGAGCAGTAACCTTTGTAGAGATTCAGAAATATTGAGGATTTTATTGAAATCAACTATTAACGATGACTTAGAATTTATTAGAGTTGACAACTCAGGTGTTCCAACATGGTCATCGTTCCAACAGCTCTTGACAACATCTTCCTTACCAGTAACTACAGTAGGATACTGCCCCATCATTCCACATG